CCTTTCCATTTTGCTCTCCTCTGGAAAAAAAAAAAAAAAGCCAGAGACACTTCATTGCAACATCTAAGGAATCAGAGTTGTGTCTTTTCACATTTGAAAGATTTCTGCCAAAAGATCAATAACTACTGAAAATTTTAGTATTTAAAGAGTTAAGCTCAGGACCAGCAGATGGCATAATGATTACATCACTGGACTCCCATGTAGTTGACCGAGGATCAAGTCCTGGACCCGGCGGCTTAAAACTGATGCCAGGGGGAACCAGCAGTTAGCGTAATGGCTATGTCGCTGGACTCCCACGTAGTCGACCGCGGTTCGTGTCCCGGACCCAGTGGCTTAAAACTCATGCCGGGCGTGTGTGCGTGTATGCCCAAGATCCCGAGAGGAGAATGGAGGAGAAGGGATTGCGGCGTGACCATCTCCCCTGGGGGGTGATTTCTCGCTTTCTGTCTCTATGTCTCTCTCTGTCTGTCTGGCGAGTGCACGCGCCCTACAGTGAAAATCTCTAAAAAAAAAAAAAAAAAAAAACTGATGTCAGGCACATATGTGTGCATGCCCAAAATCCCGAGAGGAGAATGGAGAAGAGATTGCAGTGTGGCCATCCTCCCAAGGGGCTAATTTCTCGCTTTCTGTCTCTCTAGTGAGTGCATGTACCCTATAGCAAAAATCTCTCTTAAAAAAAACAAACAAAAAAAATGAGTTAAGCTCCAGGGAGCTAGAAAATTCACTAATGTAGACTAACACATATGTTGTTCTGGGCTGCTAAATTAGTTCTACAGTAGCAAATTTTGAAGATAGCATGATGTAATTGAGTGAATGGAGATTAAGAATAAAACATTTGGAATAGAGTGTCTGCTCTGTTCCTGGTAATTGCACTGAGTGGTGACCTTGAGTATGTTGTATAACCTGTCTGTTCTTAGTAACCTCATCCATAAAGTTAGAGATTCACAGTCTTACAACACTGGTGTGTCTCAAATCATTAATAACCTCATGCTGTTTAAAGGTGAGCTAATAAGTGTCTTTCTGACAGCAAGACTTTAAAGGAAAATGATTAAATCTTTATAGCTATTGATAGATTCAGATTTTCTATTTCAATCTTGTAATACAAAGATAAGATTCTTAATTGTTGTATTTGTTTTATTTTTTATTTTAAAATAAAAAGTTTGATTCTAGTATGTGGGAAATGAGTTTTATTATTAACATAAAACTTAAAAAAAACCCACAACTTTTATTATGCCAGAGGGCATGTGCATGTTCACAAAGAGGAGAGAGAGGAGACAAAGAGAAAGCACCCCATTATGCTTCCTAATCACACCAAAATGCTTTTTCTTCCAGTTCTCCATCCTGGCAGAATCCTGGGCATATGTATGCACATGTCCCACATCCATTGTATAAGCCAGCAGGGCTAGGAATCGAACCCTGATTTGCCATGTGGATTCCAGCTTCCTCTTCACAGTGCTTAACTGCTGTTCTTTGGGGCTGGCTAATGAAACAACAAAAATTATGTGGAATGAATAAATTAAATTTAAAATAAAGTTAATAGCAAATGAATATGTTTTTGTCTTTTACCTTATGATAAAGATATGGAAGAAAGAGAAAAAAAAATCTCTCCAAATCAAAAGCCACTTTTCTTCCCAACTAAAAGAATTGTTCATACCATTATTAAATGGAAATTTTAAAAAAATGTAAAAAAGTTAAAAAATGTAAATAATAATTTAAAAATTTAAAATGTTGTAGTGCAGGTAGATTTCAGTCCCAGGGAAAAGCAGACAGAGATCAGCAGCAATTGCATTATTTAGTGCAGCTTTTCTCAGTGACATAGGGCTGGTACTAATTGAGAGTAGAAAAAAGATTCTGAAATGTTCTATGGTATGTGTTCAAAGGATGACATATTTAACTGGATTTTTTGGATAGAAGTAATGATAGTGCTTTGAATAAGGTAT